CCGCCCTAGAAATTGGTGTCCGAGTCCCCAAAATAGTTACTGGTACACTATGACACACATCCAAACACTGGCATACACCAAGAGACTAACAACACCCAGCTCGCGTTAGCTTTACTTTGCGCTATGAACAGACTGGTAAATCATTCATATACAACGTGAACACAGCCCAGTTGGCAATTGAAGCTATTTTTAAATGACCTCCATAGTGCATACAGTTATTATCACATAGAATAATATATAAAATGTCAGTACAAATATTTCAACAGTAAACGTCATCCAGCGAGAAAAACAAACTTCAAAATTGTGTCGCACACTTTGCCTTCCCAATATATAGTTATTTTCTATTGCAATGGCCCCGCTATTGCAAGCCGTAGTTCGACAGCTTCGCGAGCGGGCCTGCCGCTGCACTGCATTGCGTTGCACCTCAGATGCAAGCGGAAGTAACTCCTGGCCAAGTCGAAGGCTGCACGGTCAGAATTCAATTTGGAGGGGCGTTGTCCGCTGGCTTACATCAAGCAGCGTCCTTGATCGGTTACTCTAAGCCACTCGCATAACGAGCTCGTTTCGTTCAATTGTTCGTATTAATGAGGAACAATCGTAAGCAGCAATCTCAACGCGGATTATTTCTATCAGTTCGTACAGCAACCAGAATGCACAGGACCACCCTAACAGCAGGACGTATTCTCCGTAGCCTTGCCAGGTGAGTTCCTTAGAATGCTGGCTGTTGTAGGAGTTCGATGGACTGTAAGAAGTCGGTTCTATTAAGTCGGTTCTATTAAATGTATATATAGATGGGCACATCCTAAAAACAAGTGTCTTCCAGATCTGTACAAGCAGCGGCAACTTTTTTTTTTTTTTTTAATTCATAGAAACTTCAGGACTGAACAAAGCCGTTACCAACCCATCGACGTTTATTTTTTGGCTTGGCGCAACGCGCCCGAAGTGTTTAAACGTTCACCTTCAGAAGTATGGGGAACTTCACTTGAACGCGTTCGGCTCGTAATTCGTATTAGCTAGTATTTATGATTCTCAGAGGTAGCAAGCTTCAGTGATAAGTCTGGTCCACGCTATTTTTGTTCCTTCTAACGACTGAAAAGATGTCAGAAGGAAAGTGTGGAGATCGGTGCGTCAATCTGAAATTTCACTGCAGCTCGTTAACCAATGCAGTAGTTCAGTCGATTGAGCTTAGCATTTAATATTAGAAGAAACATTCAGTGGAAGTCTGATGGCAGCTTTAGTGTGAAGGATTTGCCGATTCCCGCTAAGATATAACGACTGTACTTGTTACGGACGAGCTAAACCAGCACCAGCTAGAATATTTAACGCCGGCGCATTCGCATGTTGACGCCATCACTGTGCGAAATGGAGAGCAGACACAGACTGGGCACGAGTGCTGCATCAACATTCGGTTGGACCTCGTGTGCAATCAATGCATCGAAGGACGATCAGCGTCGAGCTCGGGACCAATCGCTAATTAGCGAAAGAATAGACTAAAATGTAATATTTAATTTTTTTTAAGTAGTAAAAATCAACATATGGCTTCATTGAGAAATTTGCTAAGCCTCTTCGGAAACCACTAAATTAACTCTTTTCAGAAAGACATTAGGCAGGCGCAGCATCTTAAGGCGTTCCATAAAAACGCTCAATTTGAACGGGTTTCTAGGTTTCGGTTTCTTACCGGAGCGCATCTCTGCAGCCGCGGTCCTGCTCCCCAGTGGCCGGCACGCCCAACACGGGTGCGCCGTACTTCTATCCATCCTACGAGGGAGGCGAGGGGGTGGCTTCGCGCCGCTGACCCCGGGAAGCAAGACAGCGGGTACAATGATGCGCTCCCACGCAAAACCGAAACCTAAAAACGCAACCAAAATTAGCGGGTTTTTTTTTTTTTTTTTTTTTTCAGAACGCCGTAAAATGTTTCTTCTACCTTATATATTACTCTAAAAAGAGTTGATTCAGTGGTTTTCGATTATGCTTAACAAGTTTCTTAGTAGAAGCATACGTTTATTTCCACTAATAAAAATTTATTATTATATTTTTGTTAATTATTTCGATAATTAATACGTTTTTGCAATCCTCGTCCGCCAAGGCTCCTATAGTTTCTTCCCGCAAAGAGTTTCTTTTTATCTCGAACAGCATTTGGGGAGATTTTTTAAAGCTTTCACAGAAACACCCAACATATATATGATCGTCTAGTCACCGACAACTTACGAAACGCCAGAGCGTGACTTACTATATTCACGTTTTTTTTATATGTGATTCGTTCTTCGGCGTGCTTTTCGATCCATGCCGCAACCTCATTAGCTCGAGAGCAGTATTAATCTGTCCGGGACTTGCTACGTCCTGCTTTTTCCTAGTTTGGCATTAACCGTATCTAAACAATTTTATCCTCATATTCGTCTTCACTGACCTTGAATAATAAAAAAAATATATATTATTGCACCCTCATCCGTCGCTCGATCCATTAAAGATATTTCTTGCGTTGCTTATGTTCGAAAAGTGCGAGTGTGTGCTATTCCGTAGTATTTATTTTTGTTGATTTTTGTTGTGGCGCACTATCCTATTGTTAAAACACGCGGTTTACGGGGTGAGGATGAAAATTGATAAAATTAAAAGACAATTAAATTTTAACTGACCCGCATTCGCAGTTTTCTCAGTGTATATTGAGTGCTCGCTTCGTGCGAAAGCGCCTTGATTTTGGGAAAGTGAAGAGCGGTTACCGGAGCCTATTATTACTGCATAGCATCGCTTAAACGTACTAAAAAATAACGCTGTAAAGTCACCGTGATCGTAACATTTTATTTACTTATTTTTTGGGGCTCGCAAATGTGAATTCCGTAGTTAGCTATGTTCTACGGGACAAGAAGGCAATTGTTCGTTCTTGGCGAGAACTTAAAATAACAATACCGTATTTTAAACAGTAAAGCCCGCTTGAAAAACATAAACCAATATAAAAAATTAATTACCCAGATTTTTTTTTTTATTTAGCTGTTCAATTTTGCGGCGCTAAAGACGCCAAAGCTTGACGCAGCAAGATCGGCGTCATACCGTTTGGTTTGCAAAGCCTTTTGCCTTTCTTTTGTGATACAATCCTGTGTCGTTAATATACGGACTCTGTTATACAGACAACGTAAACATTTTCGGGGACGAACTGGATAAATGCTCGTATTTTTGTCTCGTTATTATGGACAAGTCACACTATGGACGCTTTTTCGAGGGGAAGAGGAACGGAGGTGTCCACATTACCGAGACATCACTGTAGCAAGACGCAGACACGACGCAGAAAATACGCTGCGACGCGTTAATAAACTTAGAAACGAAGGTTTGATCCTGCTTTTTCTAATCCGTTTATTGCAGCGAAAGTGTCATAGGTAATCTAGGGTTTCCCCTACACTGCACGAAAATCGTTCCGACACCAATTCCATGCGACCATCGGGCAATAAAGACTAGGAGCGGCAATCATGAAGCGAGGAACGTGCTAAAAACCAATTACCTCCCCTCGTCCCATGAGATGTCAGAAGTTATCAACGTCCTTACGCTCGTGTTTACTTGATCTTGCTGTAAGGCGGAATGGCCTCAGTTACGGCCTCGCACCTGTCATAAGAGCCATTACAGCGGATTCCGGGTGTTTTCTGCGCAAGATACTGCTTACGAAACTTAATTGAACAAAAAAAGATTATTTTTTAAAGCAAACACAAAAACAAAAAAAAATGTTTTCTTTTTATTGTTGTTGTGTTTCGCGAGAAGAAGGAAGTTGTGAGTCCGTCCGGCCGTGCCGCGCAAAGCGAGCGAAGCCAAGCGAAGCCGGTGGCCCCGGAGTCCCGCCAAGAATTGCGCAACGAAGGGCGATTCATCGTGTCGTCTGCTTGAAAGACTTGTTTAAAAACATTACTCGCGTTAAAGAGCGAAGAACAGTTTGCGCTTTTCCCTTTTCCCCCGCTTCCTCCTTTGGCCCCTTCTACCCGGTCTACCGTTGCCTGTTTCCTCCTCCCCCATGGTGAGGAGGATCTTCTGCCTTGCAGAATCTCGAGCCTGGTCGTCGGCCTTTAAGGGCGATTCACGCATTTGCCCGAGTCCTATTGAGTGCGACTGCAGCGGCTTGGGACGACGGGTTGCTATGGCAAGAACTGCGTTTGCTCCAACGAAACGGGGTAAAACCGGTTTTGTTGGAACCGAGGGTCGGACACGACGCAAGTGTGTTTGAATTGCGCTTTATACGAAGCCCCACTTCGGCAGTATCCAGTTCCTACGCGTAATGTTCGATGGTTTAGAAGCTTCCACCGTGCTTACCCACTTACTTCACGGATCACTAGTAGCAGTCGTCAGTGGCATCTACGATGCCAACCACGAGGGCTATGAGAATTAACCACGGCGCACATCCGCCCTCAGGTACTTGACGGCACCATTCCACCCGCATTGCGCGACCATGCTACTGCTATCGCTAACGTTTCTTCGCGCATTGTAGGCGAGAAATACGACCCCTTTAATAACGTTTTACACTATGATAAAATAATGCATAACTTAGCTTGAGTCCATATCAGTATCTTAATGTAGCGCATAGAGAAAAAAATTGAATCGCTTGCCGTTATTTTATAACACAGTCCCTGAGGTGAAATCTTTCATCTTGAGCAATGATGATTATGGCCTAAGATAGCACTTGGCTTGGACAAAATATTTTTTTAACAGAATCATTCATATTTTGAAGCCCAACTTAGTGAACCTTTCTTCGAACATGCGCGCCATCTATAGGAGCAGCTGCGCCGATCATCGGAATTCACCATTGTGTGGGCACGTACTCTGAGTATCTATTGATGCTCAAAGTACGCTCTGGTTGTGTTAGTATTGTTTTTAAATCTCGTTCGCCAAACTTCGCTCCAAGAACGTTCCCCTGTGTACGGACACGAATGCGCAAATATCTGATCATGTACACAACATTGGAGAAAGAGAGCGCGCGCACGAAAAAATGCCGAATTGAGAGAGAGACGCGTTCGTGTGGTAAAAACACTTTTATTGTTAGTACTCTCGACAATGCGGGCGAACTTATGCAGAAATCGAAAAACTTTACCGTTATTTGTTTATATCTTTAATTATGAGGCTTTCGAGCGTTCAGTGAAAGGTCTGGCCGATCCTGTTGTTCCTTGACTTGCGGGATCGGCGCGACGCCAGCGCTGCGGCAAAAACCGAGGCAGCATTTCTTCGACAACGGTGCTCATCAGGACAATGGGCTTCTCCAAAAATGCGTGCAGCAAAATTGACGCCGCGAACGAAGCGGCGAAGTTGCCGGCCACTAACGTCATCTGTGGAACAAGCATTTGTTTGAGATATGCGCCAATCTAAGTGCAGCTGTTCACACAACGCAGTAGTAGTAGCAAAACAATCAGTCGAGGTTTTTAGTTAAGCTAAGTTTGGAAGCGCGCACGTTTCATGGGGCAAGTTATGGTAGGGCTGTTGTAGTACCAGATTGGACCATCTCAACTGAACAACTGTTTATTACAGGTACACACTGAAAGTTACATTGCTATAAAGGCAATTTCGAGCAGAAGACGGGTTAGTTGCGTCCTGCCTTTAGCAGAGCCCAACACAAAGAGCGCTGAGCCACACCCTGGCAACCCAGAGATTCCCCCGTTTCTCTCTCTCCTGGTCATAAAGAGCATCACGTCAACCACGTAATCTAAAAACACTCTCCGAAAGGCTCCCCGTCCCTGGGTCGGGTTTCCAAACTCCGTCGCACCATCGCCCCGGCCCAAGGGATTTGTGGTATATGAGCCAGTAGACCGAGGTGGCGCTTGAAACTCTATCCGCAATAAGGACTGCGTGTCTCTCTTGCCTCACATTGTACACTGAGTGGGACCTGATTGGCTTAGTTGGAGAAGTAATCTCACGGCAGCCCCAATCGTGCGAATGGAACTCACGCGAATGAGGGAAAAAACGGAACTGTACCAGAGCTCGCAATATTCTGGAGCTGCACGTTGTGTCTTTTGACATACGAGTGATTATGAGATTGTTCTATACTGTTGGTTTTCTCATCAGGCTTTACGAGCCTTCATAATATGTCACCACCTGGTAAAATTATCTTCATAGGTTGAGTAGAAATATGACTTCGAAATTCACTATTAGATTGTTTATACCTCTGATCATACTTGAAGATAAAAAAAAACGCATTGTAAATGACCGCTTAAGCATTAAAAATATATCTATATATATGAAAGACTATTTACCCTGGAGACTTCTGAATTATTATATCTAAAAAAAATATACGTTGGTCATGTATTAGCATAAACCTAAGTAAATAAATAACTTCAATAATCTTACCAAGAAAAAATAACCTTCGTTGATCCTATTTCGGAAGTTCAGCCATTGGTAGAACAGAATGAAGTCATGAATCATGTAGGACCCAAAAGAGAGCCGGCTCAATGGAACCCAGGCCGGCCAAGACAAGATATTATTGATGAACCCTGAAAAAAAATAAACCCTGGTCCACAAATGAGCTGCCACTCTCAGAAATGCTTTCTTTTGATCGTTATTAATGCAACAGAATATGCGAATCTAATTATTAGTCACACCAAATATATGCCATATGACATGAACTCTAACATGTGGTGGATGACACCTTGGTCATAACAACAACTTATCAAATCTTCCAACGTTCGAATGTCTGAAATAACATTTTTGACATTTTTATGTTCCACTTTATCCGCCTGTTTAATTTCAGAGGCGCGCGTTTCAGCGTCTTCCCAGTTGCGACAAAAACACCACAGAGCTACTCGTACTGTAAGGGCGTACGTACATTCCCACTCAAGTGAGTCATAATAAATCACTGTATGCGGCACGCGTGACAAGAGCAATGCCGTTTTACAAAATAATATTTCTCGTGATATAGCCTGATGCGCATAACAAACATAACGCCAGGTAACCCGTTTCTGTTCTTTACTCGCATTGACAACGTCAGGAGCCTTTAACCAAGCCAAACATGAGCCTCAGTCGCTGACCCTTTTACCTTTTTGCTTATTAACTGACCAGAAGACCTATTAATTTCTGTCCATCGTGTCAAAAATACTAATCGTAGTCTTGAAAACCTTGTCCACCAACATTCTCTTCTTAATTCATTACCCATCTCGTTAAGACGGGCGAAATTTTTGTGCCGTCGAGAATGGCCTTCTTGAAGTTTGCTGAACATTTTCACCGAAGTTCCCGGATTTACGACTGCTGTTCGCCCACCCTCCGGCACCAAATTACTTTCTAAACGTTTCTTTCATCCGCTGGCACATTCTGAAAATGACGAAGCCGGTCTACCAGCCCTGCCGGTGACGCAGGCGAACATGATCCAGCAAAGTCCAGCGCTGAAAAGTGCTCGATGCGTGGCCTTGTAAAAGGCGGCGACCCAAGGACTAGGTGCTTCCGCGCCGGAGTTCCACAGGATGGATCCGAACAGGACGCCCGACATGCACAGCAGGGAAGCCACCCACAGCAAGACTTGCTTTGCCTTTTACGCGGAAATAGAAGAATTGACTTGAATTGAAGTTTATTTGAGTTTCCATGGGGCCAAGCCGGTATGCGGTTTTACCGAGAAAACAGGCATTTCGGCCTGACTGGAACCGTTAACTCCCATAGTTTGCAGCAAGTGCACAGAATTCTAGAAACAAACCTAGACACCAAGAAAATAAAAACACATTTGGCGCATTCATGCTTGCTAAATATACACTCTAAGAAAGGTTAAAATGTCAACACATGCTCGACAAAAAGTCATAGCCACTGTCTTGCATCCTTGAAAAAAACATAAGACATGGAGGATTAATCCCACAATCACTGGGAATAATGTCACATACAAAAGGTAAGTTCTAATTTCACAACACAGATTCGATGTATCAAAGAGGCCCAAAAAGCACTGGTTACATTATAGGGGCGCAAGAAATCTGTTTGGATACGCGGACAGAAAGTCAATAATAAATATTTTTAAAAATTAATAAGAGTTACGTGCCTATTTACCCTTTCTGTGCTTTGCCTCGTTTACTCCGTTATAAATATATCATGTACCGTACTTTCCCGACTATAGTCGACAAATAAGTTCGAACCCACTGCGTAGCCCACGACTGGTGCATATTCCGCACGTAAAACAATTCGCTTACGCAGCCCACCTTAAAAAAAAAAAAAATTCCAACTTTACTTGAGCACACAAACGACATACTATTCCAAATACGGCTCACTATAAGTTCTGCGCTGTTCATAAATAACGTTTAGACTCGTCCACTTTCTCCTAAAGAGTGACAAATAATGGCGAGCTTTTATTGCCACCAAACAAACAGAAATCTAAAAAGGTTTTATTAATTTTTGACTTTATTTTATTGGCGCTTGATTTTTTTAGGGCGAAACATCATATCCGCTGTCGCCGCGCAGACAGATGTCCTGCCGTATTGAGGTATAAATGTCCAACTCGTGATTCGCTATATATATACTCCGTTGCACATTAATGCTGCGTTTGCACTAGCAAATTTGAGGGCGGATCCGCACCGGCACGGAATGGACTTTTTAGCCGGGCGACGAAATCCGCTCGTCGCTGGCGGAAAATCCGGATCGGCCCGGGACCCACGCATATCCAGATTCTCCGCCGGCGACGAGTCGATTTCGCCAGCCGGCTTCAAAATCCGCTCGCCGCCCGGGGCAGATCCGCCCATGAATCCGCAAGTGTAAACGCACCGTATAAGACCAACCGCAGCCAACGCTATACGACTCCACCGAGCCAATCAAGAAGAGCTGAAAATGCCTCTTCATGGCGCTCGTCGTCTTTGTCCCTCGGCTACCACCGGTTAAACCAATCACGCACGCTGAAAGCGCCATGATCCTTTTTTTCTGTGCCTGATGGATTTAGCCGGTGAAATTATAAACACATGGAGAGAGCGACGATCGCCATGACGACACAGCTTTGGTGCAGCTTGATTGGTGCCAATGGATCGTAGCGTAGACTACGGTCGTACTTCTAGTGAAATGCAGTATGCGCGCTGTGCAAGTTGGTCTGCTTCTTGAGCAAGGGTTGCGGTGACGTCAGGACGCCGAGTTCTGAATGGCTCTGATTGGAAGGATAGTGCGTGGACCTCAATGGTAGCTAGGACTACCCACTATCTTTCCAGAACGCCATAGATTGGCGTTCTGATGTCATCGCGACCTCTTCGCAAGAAGCGGACAAACTTGCGCTCCGCATTGGTTTCCTTCGCATATCGATCATTGGTTCTACATGTGCTCGGCAATGAGGAACACGCGCCATGGCCACGTCCGTGAACAGTGCGCGCCTAATGAACTGAGTAAATATGGTACCTGGCCTGCTATACCCTTTTGTGTTCTTCCTGCGTACTTGAGGCTGGTTCGGGCCTTTTAATTTAAAGTATTACAGTCTTCGCCGTGTGCCCTCGCGACTGCCTACCACGAGGTGCTGCTACGAATCGCTGTGGCAACTCGGGGCCATACAACGATTCGTAGTAGAACGCAACGTAACGCGGCGTAGTCAGCGCAAATATCTGAGCCAGAGAATCGCTGAGGAACAGAGCTTACTTTGCCTATATTGTCGGTTCCGTACTTTGAGTGGTAAAACGCTGCCAAGATCCCGAGGCAGTAACTGACGAAGTGGACGTAAGGCGTGTAGTACAAGCTGGCAGGGTCGTTTCCCATCTCGGACCTGCGCTGGAAAAAGCGTCCTTGTATACTTTTGTCATTCACTGAGTAGCGTTTGCCTATACTGCGTCTGCTGACAGTACGACAGGACTGCGAGTTACCGTAGCCGTCAAGTATTACGTAACGTAATTGCCGTGGTAACTCAAAATCGTATCTCCAGGCACTGTCCTCAAAACGTAGTCAAACATACTCTACCGCTACTGAATGAGTATCTGCGCCTGGCGACCGCTAATCGTCTATTGTTATGGGCACTTTTCTGACAGCTGCGCGTGGACATAACTATACGCGGTATGCGCTGACGTCACATCAGTTGTCACTGTAATGGCCTTGCTGCTGAGCACTCCTGCTGGAGCTTACATATTGTACCATCGAATAAGTTTTTCTTGACAAGAAAAAGTAAAACGACCACCAGGGTGATGCGATCACGTCACTCGCAAGCCATGTTTAACTGCGTTTCACTTTCATATCTTGTTCATTGTTGTCCGTCTTACTATGCCATTACGATCAAACGACGGCTGACGAGGACACCCGTGATAAGTGGTGGCAAGGACATCATTGTGCATTTTCTGACAACACATTGGTCTTGTTAGGGACTATATGGGTTCGTAATCGCCAATGAGGTGAAAAGCAATGTTTTTTATTTTGTTTTTTATCGTTAAGCACTTGTTTGTTCTGGTATGAAGAATATGAAGAAAAAGTATGTCTCTTACGGAAGTACGGGCGTGAAGTAGAACGTGCCAGCATTAAGGTTGTTTAGTTTCGTGACCAGAAAAATGGTGCACATACTGGCCAATAGCAGGGCAACCAGAAGACGCGCTTGGCCTGTTCTTTGATCAGGGTAAATAAAAAGAAAAAAGAAACATGTTGGTCAATGCTGGAGTCGCCCCCATATCGTACGTTCTCTTAATTAAACTTTGACATTTCAGTTTTTCTATACACAATAAAGGTGACACAAATGCATCAGTTATTTTATGAGAGACAAGTGAGCTTGAGAATGATCTTGCAGAAGAACGAAACAGAAGCACAAAGTATAAACAGTGTGTCGAGGGTGGCAAGAATTTCAGACGTTTATTGGAACTTACTTTTAACTACTGCCACTGCTGCTACTGCTAGTACTACAACTACTATCAGTCCTCCTGCTCTTCCTCCTCTTCTCCTCCTACTGACACTTAACAATAACAATAACAATAATAATAATAATGAGCCTTCGTTGGTAATAAGCATCGTGTCCATTCAACCCACGTTGGATGGACTAAGTTACAATTCAGCTTTATGCAGAGAGTTTTTTGTTTTAATCTGTGAGGGTTTTGTCGAAAATGATGGCATTCTAAGGGAGAATACGTTATCGAGCTCTCCCCCTCCCGCCCTTTTGGGCATATTTTGACGGGACGTAACGTCACTGAACATCATGACGTCATGCGACTTTGTGACATAGTGGCACCAACCACTGTACCTCGGGACGACATGGTGGCACAAACCACGTGGCCCATTGCGGTAGAAATCACGTGACCGTCGTACGTATTTCATATACGACCATTTTGTTGGGTAAGTATGACCAAAGTGCTGCAGTTTGTTTGCTAAGCGTACGAATGTTCAAGTAAAAATATTATCTTGCATTTTAGTTTGACGTAACTATCGCACAAATGTTACTTCATTTTACTGCAATTGATGTAACGGTCATATTTTAATAAAGTCTAAGAAGAGTTATTAGCTGCGTTTTTTATATCTTATGTTGTTCCCAAGACCAAACAGAAGAGCGCTGCTCTTCAGCCAGTTTTGGGGAGGATTTATGTCGAACTACGCTCGCTGTATTGAATTGAGCGCAAAGCGATAATGAACTTGAACTGAGTAATACTAAAAGAATACATCTTATTGCGTTTGTTTATAAAAAAGCTAAGCTCTTCATTAAATTTTCCGAATACCTTTTCAGTCGGAGGACGAAGTAGAGAGAAAAAACGAACAACTGGAAGTCCACTGCGCTGTACCAATGCTGGGGACTTTGCTGAATCAAAAAAAAAAAAAAAAAAAAAACGAATGCAGTTGCAATCATCATAACACTTCCTTATAAGAGTGTAGAAGACATTTGGCATACTATACATTTGTTTTGATAACGTTCATTATTAACACTACATCTGTCAAGCTTCTTATTCCTGATTCTTAATTACGTGCCTCGCAGTAGTCTAAATTTTATTTCTGTATGTACGCTACGAAGAATGCTTGATAAGAGCATCACGTGAAACTGAATTTCAAATCATTTCACTTCCGTTCCGAAACTTCAAAGTTATATTACACCTAATCGAGGATATTTTGTATATTTTTTATAAAATTTTATTTGGCGTAGCAAATGCAAAGGTAAAGAAATATATATACAATTATGCTTTTACTACTTTGATTGCCTGATTTCAGGCACCGATTTGCAGATATTCGTAACACTGCACATAATAGAGTCGCCTAATAATTTAACAAAATACGAACATTTTGCTACTCGACGATATCGGGCCCTGTGACTAAGGGAAGTAAGGAACATTTTATTACTCGACGATATCGGGCCCTGTGACTAAGGGAAGTAAGAAGTACTTACAATGTCGTCTAAATGCAGGTTGTTAAAAGTCCCCATGATGTAGTGAGGCCAGTGTTTCGTGAAGGCTCCTGCTCTCATCTCTGCTTCTTTCGACCACTGCGGCCCGTGCCCGGAAACCGGCACGAGCTGGTGAAGGCAGTGGATCGCCCAGAGCAGAGGAAACAGCCTGGGTATTTCACGGGTAGTTCTTTATGTACGAAAGCTCAGGCCGAATATATTAGTTCTAACCACGCTACATACGCAACAGTGCTTAAACTGTGAGCAGGAAGAACAGACGTTAAAACTCTGACAAACATTATAAACCGGTTTCTCACCACCGTTAGTGATAGATATCTCGTTGACGTAAAATCTGCGTCGCTTGCTTGCACTGCTAAAAAGTTTAGTCTAGTATTTCTTTTATTCTTTTTTGGCGAGATAGGAGACAATTAAAGAAGATGTGCAAGAACAAAATTTTAGGGGAACGTAATCAATACAAAACGTGCTTCATTACTTTATTTTATTATTGAACTCATTTTGGAAACTGAGAGGCTTGTGAGGTGCATAGAAAGCTTAAAAAAACTGTTTTATTGTAAATAGCCGGCACGTGTATTTCTGCCGATAGCCTGACTCTATCAGAAGAAAGCTCACTAAATCACCAGGCGCAGACCATATTCTGATAGTAGCACGCAGTCTACATCGGGGTAACGCTGCGCGAATGCTCATCAAGAAACACTTGATACAAAGCTACACCCTTGCATCTGTAAGCCCTCGCTAACTCCGTGTATCGCCTGTAAGCTGCAGTATGCATTGGTAGGGAATCCAGTATACTTGGTTTTCCGCGCACTCCATACTCAAAGAAACGCGCGGGAAATGTTTGTGGGGAACGAGATTTTGATACAGCCTGGAATATTTTAATAAAATGATGGATAGTGACTCGAAAAGTTTTGACTCAGAATTGCATTTTTACAGAAGATCACTCAGATTTCGCGAACGTCTCTAAGCGAGCAGCGGAAAAGAATGAGTAGAAGACATGGCGATACCGCAATGCTTCAAAAAGACGTGACCAGCTACTGAAAGCTACATTAAGAAAAAATAAATAAAAAGAAGCGACTGCAAAGAAGGATACGTCGACACTTTGAAACTAATGCGGTGACTGCCAGGAAGGCCGAGACTGGACGTCATCGTTCACTTTCGTTTTTCATAAACCACAACTTATCCCCAGCATTCCTGTCTCCTTGCGCCCTCTCTTGGCTATTCTCAGCAAAACGCAGTAAAATGATAATTTTAGCCAAACTACTGCAGAAATCCTTAAGTTTCCGGGATATCTATAGAGGGCACTAATGCACTCTTATTTAATACCTACTTGAACTGGATTGTGTACTTTTTATTCCTGGGCCCGATATAATATTGTTGCATTGGGTCCTATGGGTTATTTTGACACAATTTTAAATTTCTTCTCACTGAAATGAAAAATCATAAAGTTCCCGAGGAATATAATAGCTGCCGACTCATAGCACACACCGCAATTAAAATTTGTGTATTTTAATGAATACTTTTTATTCCTCGAGACTTTCAAAATCGGCCCACTTCTTGCCCCTGTAAAGTTAGCACTCCGCCGTGCACCAAGAAGCTTGCGACCAAGCTACCTTTACATAGGCTTATCGAAAAAAAGATTTGCACATTGCGTTTGTGACAGAATATTGATTAAGAATGCGGCGATTATAATACGACTATATAATAATTAGATGTTTACAATCAAAATTTGTTCCCTGGATTTCAAATATAAGCAATTCTTATGTAGGGTCAGAAACACTTGCACTGTATATATTTTGCTTTGAATTTGCCTATCTACGTAAAGTTTTAGCTCGGTTACAGACACAAACTGAACAAAATTCTTTCAGGCGTGTATAACTAGAAATAACTAGAAATATAACTAGAACGGCGCGCCGCTGGCCGTTCGATTGTGTCTTTTAATTTATGTTATTTTATCTATGCATATATACGCGTATAAATAAAGAACACAAAAACGACGACGTTGAGAGGATGACACACCGGGCGACGGCGGTGCCTCAATCTGAGCCCTGGTTCCTCGAAAGCGGCAGCTTCTACTTTGACTGGGCTATCTCCTTGGAGCCTGATGCTTCGACCCCAGTGGACCCCAGTGAGCAACAGCGCCATCATGTTCCTGGGGCTCCTTCATGCACCGATTGAACGTCGTGCCGGATCCCCATGACGCGCTGTTAACCCGCCCAACCCACCTCCACGAAATCTGGACATCTGCGAATCGGGCTGTCATCCTCCCCAATACCAACAATCCATGTCGTCGTCATCATCCATGTATATACTCATCACATTATCATGCTCACTAGACGCGGCACCGCGGGCCTCCATGGTGCGGCGGCTCCCAGAGCCAAATAAATAAAGACTAAAAACTGAGGACTAAAGACAAAATGCTTTGCTGACCAACAGCCGTTAGCGCCTTAAAAGAAAAAACAATAGTGTTTCCTCGTTTACAGTATACAAATTCCAAAACTACACCATACTAGTGGCGCACATCACTGAGATAACATACGCAATGCAGAAAATAACAGATTGTCTCTTGAACGTAAAACGGCAAAATACACGTAATTTGGAAGATTTTTTGTTTCTAAAAGCCAAATTCAGAAACCTAAACTAAACTAATGTTTGCTGAAACTCGGGGTAGATCGTGTGCATCGTTTCGAAAAAGTATCGAACGAAAACACCATTCAACACATTTGGCGTTGTTTCACACCTTGAGACACTGGCTTGCACTAGCGCACCGACCGCTGGCGTAGCATAGCGCGTAGTCGTGAAATGTCTGCGACTGATGATGATGATAGCTTACTTGCCAAAAAAAGACTCGGCGCGGACCTCTCTTCCGGGCAGGGCTGGATTTGGCGCTGTAGGCGTTCTGTCTCATGCAAATGAGCGCAGTGGAATGTATTCCCCCTAGTGAAGTATTTAGCCAGATGGAAACGGTGAAAATGGTGGGAGGCCGGAGAGATGGACAGGAGAGGAGGTTCAGATAGCGTTTGCGCGCTCCGAATTCTCCGTTTATCTTGCTCTAGGGTCCCTACATGTCTGTCTGTCTGAGGGTGAAGACATCCATTGTTGCCCTGAATGTGCCAGCGCGGGACACTCTCGCGCACTCGGTGCGTGACTTGGGCGGTAAAATGGCGTCTATGCATTAGTCAAAGCTACGCGCTCGAGCTGAGCGACACCATATTGCGCGCGCTTCAAAATGCATAAAACAACGATTGGTCGAAAAAATGGCTGAGATGTCACCGCTCAAGCAAAAGCGCGCGTGTGTATGAAGGCACTCTATCTTGCTCAAGGTTGATAGGCGACGTGTCGTGAGAATCGAGAACTAAAACAGCGTGTCTCGGAAAGCTGGCTATATGATTTTTCATATAAATGTTTAATGGAATTTTTTTTTTACTTGTTTTTTTTTTTTTGCCTCAAAACAGAAAGATTCAGATTTGAGAGAAAACGTAACACTCAGCAGGTTTGTGATAATAGGGTAGTACTAGTACTAAATGCACGTCGCAGAGCTAGTACCTCATAGTGGAATAAGATCAGTTGCTCCTAATTTTCCAGGAGGGTTGCTCGGCTAACAACGTTAAGGATAACCTCACCTTCATTCGTTTGATATAGCAGCCATACACTTTCAATGGAACGAAACATCAACGAAACCGTTTCATTGTGTAAGTAAAAAGAAAACAAGTTTGATGAAGCTTGTTGACATTTTACTAAACTCAGAGCACGAGCTCATGTCAATTAAAGAGAACAAAAAACTAAACGGTAGGTGGTACTGGTCTTACCTTAGATATCTATGAAGAGCAATATTGAAGATGCTGGTGTGGCCGCGGTCCTTCTCCCATCTTTTCGAGAAAGTGACCCACATCATAAATCCCCTGAAAACAACCGACATAAAAAATCCGAAAATAAATTACACGAAACGTTCTAGCCTTCTTAATACCTGTCTAAACAACATTTCTGACTACTCATTCGTGGCACGACGTTTAGGGCTATTACAGAATTACCGCAGTTCGCATGCTTACATTCGCAAACCTATGACGCACTTTTCGAACTGTTAGACAGACGAGGCTATACAACTTTTAGCCGTTCGACTAAGCATATATGTTAGTGATGAAAAACTATCGAAAAATTGACTATCGACACTATCGATAGTTTTCTTCCAAAACTATCGATAATATCGGAAAGGATCGGTAGTACCATAAATAGTATTACCAATAGTTGACTATCGATAGTGTTATCGATAGTGCAATCGATAGTGTTATCAGTAGTACTATCGACAGTTGGCTTTTTGTCGACAATGGGTACTATCAAAAGTCAGCTTTCTGAAAACTACCGAGCATTGCGAAAATGCAAGTACCACCCAAAAAGGGAATGACGACGGATATGTAGGGCAAACATGTCGTGGTTTTGGGAAGAAACATGAAATTGAAAGCTTTTATTGCATTCTCACACATTAAAGTGACAGGCAAAAGAGAAATGGCGTTTTTGCTAGTTGTCCTGTGAAGATGTTTTGTATATTAATGGGGTTAGATATCAGGCTTCACACTTTAGTATGCTTATATTTGTTAAACTAAAGAGTATATTCAGTATTTGTTTTCTTTTGACCTAGGGAAAACATTCGCTGCAGACATTTAGCATCAGGGTTTTCACAAGTTTTTTTCACGCTTGTGTTTTCTTTATTACTCAATTGTCACATTTTACTTTGCACAGCTATGAGCACTGATAGGTGAAAATAAGCACTCTGCTGAAGATAAGATTTTTGTTTTTTTACTGTTGATGACCATTCATAGCGGATTCCCGAAAATATGGAATAAACTGTTGACAAAAATTAGTAGTCACTTTTGTTCGGTTCTATATTTTGTCAGATTATAATAACGTTGGCTGGGAAAGGATTTACCTGTTGATAGAAAACTAAACTTCAAAATACAGAAGCCGTCACATTATTTTTGAATACATATTTTCGCATCAATAAATGCAACAGAGATTTTGTTGTGGAGACTTCAAATTTATCATTTCCAGATTAAAAGCTTATACAAAGTCAACAGAGTTCTTTAAATACAATAAGTCTGGGGACGTAACGTTAACTGAATCAAAAATGAAATATAAAAACGAAAATTTCCTATGATCCAAGTAAAGATATTGCTGGCAATGAGGCAGTATTTCAGTAAATGGCTTGAGAATCCGAAAGGCAATATTGTTTCCTTTCTTTCTCGCAATCAGTTTGGTTCGAAAAAAAAACACCACAATTATCTTTTCATCCGGGTAAAGTCATGCCCCCATCCTTGCGCATTCGATCGCCATCGCTAGCATCACACCCAAGCAGGGTTTCGGATTCATGCAACACGTAGTTTACTTATCAGGGGCGACAGGGATTTCCATTTTTCTGATTAGGCTCTGCCTACAAAGGCAAGTGTTACACCCCTGAAAGCAATCTAAAACAGCGAAACAAATTTCGACAATCTATGAAGTTGATCTTTTTATTCATAATATTTTAATAATATGGCATCGATATTTTTAATAGTTTATTTTTAATGGTTTCTAAGGAGGATTTCTACCGCTTTCTGAGTATTTTCCATTAGATGTGAGATTATTCCTCGATAATTATGCGGAAGTCCCTAATTGCAGTTGCGTTTTTCTTTGAGCTACACGACGTTTCCTGTATAGACAAAGGACTTTCTTTGACAGCTAATAAACCATTATCGACAGCTTCGCGACAGTTGGCTATCAGTAGCTTTTCGAAAATCTACTATAAACAGTTTCACATTTTTAGCTATTGGTGGTATGCTATCGAGTTTCATGATAGCCGACTACTGAAAGTACTACCTATAGTTTTAAGATAGTCAACTTACCATCAAAGTTTTACGATAGTCGACTATCGATAGTATAATATCAAAGTTTTACGATAGTATACTATCAATAATACTACTATCAATAGTATATCGATATTTTTACGATAGTCGACTGTCGATAACACTATCGTAGCTTTTTTACTGTCAATAATCAAAATTGGTTATAACTATAGAGAGTATCGATAGTACTATCAATAGTTTCGCAACGCTAATATGTGTTCTTTTCGGGTGTGTATCTGTTCAGAATATGGTTTAATTGAGTGCGGTCTACGTAAAGCTTTACTTGAACAGGAGGTATGGTTTGACGAGAAATTCACATAACGAATACAGACCCCATAGTGAAGAATATGCACGAGTGCAATGAAGCGTTGACTATAAACTGACGCATCCACGATGACGACAGTTTGTAGAGCTCGTCAACATTGTCTGCAAACGAAATGTTTTTTTTTAATTAATTGCACACATTTAAGTGTAAAGAATCCAGACTGGTGGCAGAAATCCTTGCTCAACGGACACCAGTACAGTCATCTTGGTTCAGCGTATTTTAAGTCAGTCTTTTTACTGCGAGTCTTCGCTTTAACAACTCTATAGGACTCCAAGCTTCCGATAGTCGATTGAGGCATTAGGTTTCGAATTTCAATTATTAATAATGGCGAATGTAGCAGGTGGCAGGCACTATATAAACGGTCCTTAACTAGGATATTTTGAGGTATATATATGCTGCTTTTGCTATAATCTTAGAATTTCAGTCTTAATTTCTCTTAATGAAGAGTAAGTAAATGGTTTTTAATACATGCGCCAAAAACCAACCGAAAATCGCAGGAAAAGTTTAATATAAGGCACTTATTCCGCATAATTATTTCTAAAACGAATCACTCGTGGTTATTTATCTGCCGCAATCTTAAATTATGCTTCTAGCAAAATAATATTTCCAATTTACGTCCAATAAGTGCCTTCATTTCTAAAGAGTACGAATGATTTTCATGTGTCAAAATTTGCACAGTTTTTTTTTTATTTTTTTTTTTTTGTGGCATATGTGCTTCAGCTTTAGGCCATTAAGCTTAGCTCAACACGAAGTGTATCGGGCCGTTGCCCGTATTGCAAGCTGTAATCCTATAATCAATGTTACATAGTGATGTCAAAGCATAGGTTTTAGAAACTACCTGAGAATGACAATCTTACCATAGAACTCTACGTCTGTGAACATAGAAGTGTGACTGGTGATGACCCAGAAAGTTCCCAAGACGCGCAGGCCATGGAAGGCGTCCAAGTTGCTGCGCTGGCTGGGCAAAACGAATATCGAGCGGAAGCTCCGAACTACGGAAAGCGCCTTCAGTTTCTCCAGTGGCCCGTCTGAAATGCAGACCGCATTTCCAATAAATGTCATCGTGATTGAAAAAAAAATCGTTCTGAGGTGTTTATAGATATAGGGGTCTCAGTGTTAGTGCCTCATTCACGCTATAAAGGTGCAACTTTACCAAAACAATATAACCTATTTTATGAGGTATTTAGCGTGCAATAAACAAAAGCACGCGGCAATAACTTACTTCCCCATAAAAACCGACAGGCGTGTTTTTGCCCATATGATCTATGAATCCATCCTGAGCTTCTGCCGCTGGTCTCTAGGCATTCTTAAAATATTGGCGGAGAGTCATACTGGTCTAACATTATTTGATAATCCAAATGTGTTACTACGACTGGGATCCTTGTCACAACAATAGTACAATGAAATATGCCGTGTTCAATGAATCATGTCCCTGTATATATACATACATGTCTATTCAAAAACGGAATTTGCCGTTACTGGCAAAGTAAGTAAGCTGAACCCTATATGGCACTGACAGGTCAACATCATATCTTTTTATTATCCGAAACGATTGAAAACGATGCCTGGTCATTACCCTCAAAATTCGAAACTTGGGAACTCAGTATTTGTAAAGGAAAAAAAACAAAACATTTTCCTCAAGCCGAATTTGAAGTTCTCGCGCTATCCGTGCCAGTGGAAGGACGTCAAAGATTGAGTCGTCCTGCAACTCAAGTTTTTTTCACGCCTCCGAACCGTCCAAACTCGAAGTGTCGTATTCGCCCGCGTCCCGCAATAAACCGCCCTTTTTCGTGCCTGCCGCATATCGCTGTTAGCAGACGAGATTCTCGTCTTTCTTCTTCAAGCTTTCGAGCTTGAAGTTCGTTTAGGGTCCTTTCAGCGATCTCAAATTCTTTGAAACGGTGTGAGGTCGAAGAGAACGCGCAGTGCACTTCTGTGAGCGACGTGAGTGGCCACGTGGCGCCGGTTCTCCGTGAAAGGCTGCCCCGGTGGAGTCACAACCGAAACTATATGGTACACAGACACCAAACTCAGTTGTTTTCACCGTTTGACTATCTCCCTTTCGAAGCCTGAGGGGGTGTCGGGCGCGTAAAAAAGAGAACGCCGTCCGACTCCTCGACTCGCCGATCATTCTCAGGGCTACATGTGCCGAGCGCCGTCAGCGCCGCCATGTTTTCCGAGGGAGGACAAAAAGCGAGGAAGCGACATCTCTTTGGACTCTGATTTTCGGTATTTCAAAAATAAGGGCGTTCGCAATTGAGTTAAACAATATATTTTACGAATGGCGTTATTAAATATTTTAGAAATGTCGTCTACAAAGCTTGTCAATTTCATAATCGCTGACGTCACAAAAAAGAAAAAAAGAAGCGAGGAGGTGAGAAAAGAGAGAGAAGAACGCCAAGATAAAAAGGTGCGATCAAGCGTGGGAATTTTTTTTTTCGCGGTATGGTATTTTTGTGTACATTACTACAACTTCCATCATTTTGTACAAAACAAAATAGAAAAGCGAACCTTCTGGTGTTAGTGCCTCTTGAAAGGGATACTACAACGAAATTTCGAAGCTTATTTTTTGGTCTATGCGTGCTCAAAGGAGCAGTATAACATTGGGCACTCCAGTATCTTGTTAAAAAAAAGACAAGAAAAGGAATTTTAAAACAAATTAAATGATTAGCAAAGAGCACCTGGTGGATATCGCTAAAGCATCGTTTGTAATGCCCGTTTAGAAACCTTGACAGATAGTGACAAAAACTGTTTTGCCTAGAACTGTACATGCTTTAAGCCTAACGTCATCCAGACAGCTCTACGGCCAGCACAAGAAAAGTGGGGAGGAAGGAACTCCCCACTCAACGGTTCTCTTTTTGTGTGCGTCCCAGACGTCGCTATTCTCCTTCTACAAGACTACAGAAGATTAACCCGTCACTCAAAATTCACACAAAAGCAGCTTTGCGGTTAGGTGGGGTGGCCTGATCGCTGGCGTGCTTCGACTTCTTCGGTGGCTGGAATGGCTAGGACATTCTGACAACGTCAGCCTCGCCGCAGCTTGGCTCATCCCGAGACAAACCACGTCACGATTGCGCCGGATGTGACGTGCTCTCCGCTAACTGTCCTCCGAGCGCTTGACAAAGTGGGCCGTTGATAAAAAGAAAAAAAAAAAAAGATACACCCATCAGGCTCAAGATACAAACGTGCAATTGACATTTACGGACATTGTGGATCCTATTCAGCCTATTTCTGAACAAGACGGGTATATTTCACATTTCGTTGAAGTATCCCTTCGAGCAACAGCCAATAAAACAAAAGGTAGTTCATTGTTTTCATAATTTCTGTTAGGTCAATAATATAATATGCAATCTCACTCTGGTTCCCTTTTAATAAATATGGTATTGATAAAATAGAAAGCATTAAAAACAAATAAATGTCCTCTTTAGTTTAAAGTACACGAGCACGAAAACGTCGTCTAGGGAGTTCTCTGGAAGAGTAAGGAACGTTGCAGTCAGAGCAAGAATTTCTTGATAACAAAATTTCTTGGACATCCTGAACGGCATAGTGCGTATCGATAGTTATTTAGAACCATTACTGCACGGGCTATTACGGCCGAACTGTTTCGGATAAATAGAAAAATAAAGGCTCAATCGACATCGTCATTCTGTTTCTGATTATTTTGCTATGCCATTGAAACTGTACTTCAAGTAATGTTCCGTTGGTATGACAGTGCTTTCCTACAGATACTTTTATAATCCTCCCCCCTTTATGGTACCCTGCACAAAGTGAGTATAAAAATGTATAAATAATAATGCTCGCAATTAGAAAAATAAACAGCGCTTACCGTTGCTCACCATCCCAGTTTGTCCTGGAGGTTGGATAAATTTTAAATAAAGAATAAAATTAATGATTGCACAAAGTGGTCAGAAAGCAAACGATATTAGCGGAACACGCATACAGAAACCCCGTTTGAAATATTAAAAATTGCAATCACAGAAATACATTATTTTTTCTCGTTAGATGTGTATGTTGCAGTGCATCAGGGGCCCTTTAGGCAATATGAACAGTCAGACTGTTCTGAAGTGTAATAGCGACCATGCGTGACATAAAATGCAAAAATTATCGATTAAAAAAAAGCTAAGATGAACTATTGACGTTTTTTCGCCTCTACGCAAGCTAACTGAAACTTCCTGGGTGCATAACTTCCACGCAAACAAAAACCGGATCCCCTTCTTTAACCTCGGTCTTTGCAATTTTCCTATTGAAGTCGTCCCTTCGCCGCTTCTCCCTATCCGCGGCAGCCGACTTCGACGAACAGTCTGATTCAGCTCATCATTTACCTACATTCACATTAACTCATGGGGCTGGCAAAGCAGGTTATATAACTGCTCTGAGACGTTGACCGCAAGGCGCTATGGTCATTCATTTCGATCGAAGATGTATATGGGCACTACAACTTTGCCAACGTGATGTTTCCTTCTTAATTTTTTTTTCGTCACTTCTTTTTACTTTTTTTTTGTTTCGAGTGAAGCTTTACTGATTACAGTATGGCTGCCTAAACTCCGTGTTGTGCGCCGCCACAAAAGTGACTCACCCACGCAGCCCGAAGGTGATAATCAAAACCGAAAGCGTCATTATCCGAGCAAGTCTTTTTCTTCATTGGAGTAAAGCCACTAATTTAGCAACGTTTAGAGTATCGGCACTCCTTTCCTCTTGTGGATGCCACTATTGTTTTGCTTAGTTCAAAGCGGGGCGCAGTCGGCAGTAGTTACCATTTAAAAATGCGACGTCCTGAGCTTTAGATACAATGTGAGGAAGATAAGGCAGTGTTATTTTTCTCTGTCGCGGACTGTTTACACATTTCTGGAGGACGGAAAAGCATTTCCAACAATTAAAAGTGAAGCTTTTGATAACTGGCAACCATACTTTCTAAACACCAGATTGCCTTGAGTGTAGTTACTCTAAAACGTGACTTACTTATACCCCAATCAGACGGGCTAATTTAGTGCATTTCAACCACTCTTCCACCGTGATTTCAACTAAGTGTACTTCAGCCCACCGAATGTAATTTCAAGTGTTTCCGTGCCACACGGGATAAATAAGTGTCACTTGGAAATGATGAGAATAACGATGGGTAAAAACTATTAGATACATAAATTGTTAAATTAAAGGAATAAATGTATCAGCAATATTTAATGTTTTTTTTTTTAATAAAGACACGTTATATGACTACGTTACGTTAATTCGCAATATTTACGTCAATTGGATGATTCTAATCGATCCTCAGAAGGCAAGATAAATAAACAAAAGACGAACAAAAAGCAAACTTACTTAAAACCGAGTGTATTCTTCTAGAAGAAGCTGTGAGGCACACTACACAAATAACACTATAGAGTCGAAGTGCACTCCGCTGAAGTGCACTAAATCAGCCCGTCTGACCGGGGTAGTATACACTCTAAAAAATGTTCGCGCGTATACTTGCCCGCAAAACAATCATAGAGCCAATCATTGTGATCTATGAAATCAGCTCAGCGAATGATGAGGCGGAACATCAGTTTAGACCTAAAAATGAAGTCTGCGCTGTCGCATTACGCAATGCAAAGCGTCGTGCTTGCATTCCGTAATGCCACCGCGCAGACTTAACTTTTAGGTCTAAACAGATGTCCCCCCCATCATTCGCTCAGCTGATTTCGTAGAACGCAATGATTGGCCCTTTGAGAGTTTTGCGGGTAAGTAGACGTGCAGGCATTTCTTAGAGTGTAGTTGCTCTACGTCCGACATGCCGGCAGCGTAGAGTTGTCTCCCCGTGGACCAAAACCATTGGACGAATCCAAAGCTCCTGATTGGTGTTTCTTCAAACACGTCACAAACGCGCGCCCGCCGGCAACTAAACACGCTGCGGCGGTGCACTCTAAAAAAAGTCTGTGCGCAGTCTAAGTTGTGACATTAAGCAATGCAAAACGTCACGCTTGCATTGCTTAATGTCACAACTCAGACTGCGTTTTTTGGTCTAAACATATGTTTCGGCATTGTCATTCGCTGAGCTGCCTCCGTAAGTTACGGTGATTGGCTCTCCGAGTGTTGTGCGGGAAAGTAGACGCACAGACTTTTTTTAGAGTGTGGGTGTTTGCGCGGTATAAGGCGAGAAAAGAGGGGAGGGGGCTTAACAGCCGCCGGTGTTTCACGCTTACACGGGCGGCACCTACAGGCGCTGTTTGTTACCGCCAATATGGCCATCCATCGTGTCGCCGCCGTCCTCGGTCGCCTTCACATGGTACGTTGCCGTCAACGTTGCTCGGTTTGCTGTCACGAGCCCATCTTACCTCAAACTACGAGCGCGAAAGGGTCACTGTCGTCTCCTGTTTGCGAGAGAGCGTGACATTCGAACGGGCATATAAAGGTCCTGAATTCGCTCCATGGGTTTACTCCTTGTGAATGTTTAAACACGTTGCCGACCCCATATAGATTGATCATGTCATAGCCTGATCACGGTTTGTCTTTTGATACGCTGCGTACGAGATTTGAATGATGTGGCGCAGGAGTGAGAGAACAGAAAACATCTTTGGGTTTAAGCAATACTTGGGCCTGATCAAGAACCGTATTAACAACTCACGCAAACTTGCTCGTGAAAATGGTTTTTCCCTGAGGGCATCAGTCAGGTTACTGCAAACGTCCAGCGCAGTCGCCAGACATACAGCAGCTACGAATGCACCTAAAAAAAACCTGTAACCGAAGTGGGGTATAACGAGGCTAGTGAACAATTAGTGAAGGTGAATTCAATTATATGCATGCTTGCGTATTTTTGCGAAAAAATACACGAGTCCCTTTATTGAGATAAATCCAGTTGCTTCGCTGTTCTTGAAGCTGATCACTGCGCACAGGAATACCTTACTGAATATCATTTAAGTGAAATTGAAAATTTGGTTGTTCACGATCTTCCACTGCTATTAAAATTGGTCTGTGTTAATGTTCTGAAGCCGTTTGGTGTGTGTACTTTGACAAGCTTAATTCTTATTTTACGCTTTACTCACATAAACTCACGAATACATTTTTTTAGACCTGATCTGTGTTGCTTTACACGAGGGAGTCTAGAAGCAAGCTGTTAGTCAGCCGTTCACAAAAAGTACAGATACTTACAGTGTAACGCTGAAGACGCTACCACCAATGGTTTAGTAGATTATTCCCAGAGTAGTGATAACAGGGCTCCCGCTAATATTAAAGATGCACCAGTTCCCCGAAACGTTTTAAGTAAAGTAAAATTTCCCACGAGCATCGGCAACTATGGCTTACCTTACGAAATTCCCTATTTGCTCGAGTAAAATAGTCGCGCATTTCGTATACAAAGTCTGTGGGTCTGCTTTTCCGCGGAGCATGGGTATATCGAATCACCGCGATCGGCAGACAAATGGCAGCGATTGACGGGAGAGAGATAAGGTTTTCACGCAAAGATGTGCTAACTGCTCAGATTGCATTAGTACGTAGAATCGTGTTCTCCACCTCGGTATTGGCCGCATTTTTTTTTTCTGCGCATAGCGCGATGAATGACCGCATGTGTGTCGTGCAGAAAAGTAGACGCAAGGGCCTTGCTCATGTGTCTCTTACTTGATCAATTACGGTATTCATCTTCGTAAACTTTTTCAACGGGTAGCGAACTATAACGTTCAGTGTATACACCAACACAGTGTTTACAAACAAGCCGGCTTTGTCCGCACCAAGTGTGGGCACAGCGCATGCGCAGAAACCTAATTCGGAAGAAGTGAAGCGTTTGCGCATGCGCAGTTCCGACAGCTGCGCCACCGCATGGGCGGTGCGTCAGTGAGTTGAGTTGGTGTATAAAATGCCCCCTTCCCGGAATATTACCGCTGTATTCAATTTCAATTTAAATCTGACTTCAGCTGATGCTACGATGCGATGGCACCGATCAGGTGGCGCCAAATGTGCACAGTCACGGCGCTCGTCGACTTTAGGGGGGGGGGGGGGACGTGTGTTATTACAGGCTAAACAAATCACACGCAGAAGGAGGCACAGGATCGCGGTGCGTTCAATGTGCGCGATTGGTATAGTCGATGACAACTAAACGCACAATGGCGATGCGCACCATGACGATGCACTTTTGGCGCTGCTTGATTGGCCCCATCAGATCACAACGTCGGCTGTGGGCATATACTTAAAGTAAAACGGAGTATGTGGAGAGCAAGTCGTCTGCTTCTGGCTCCGGGGTTGCGGTGACGTCAGAACGACGCCGAATTCTGATTGGCTTTGATTGAAAGGATAGTGGATAGACATCAATGCTAGATACCTCGAGGTCTACCCTATTTTTGTTTTCAATCAACCACTAACAGCTTGGCGTTTTGACATATTCGCAACCCCTGTGTAACAAGCAGACGAACCTGCGCCCCACGTACCTTTCTCGCACTCGCTCGTTCCAGCGCAGATTCGGTTTTTATTCCCGCAAACACTTACCGCTCATTTACACTGGAAGCGGATCCGCGTTCGCAAAGCGGTTGCGAACGCGGTTGTATAAAGATCCAGTGCTATTGCACGCGCACTCGATGACATCAACTGCGCGTGCAATTGTACTGGATCTTTATACAACCGCGTTCGCAACCGCTTCGCGAACGCGGATCCGCTTCCAGTGTGAATGAGCGGTTAACCAGAGGCTCATAATTTGCGAGTGGATCGGCACGTACTTGAGTGGTCCGCGCTCTGCTCTCCCCCTATCTGCACTTTGTTGCGACCCCGTGCTCGGGCCTTGCTTTCGAACAAGGCGAAAGCAAACGAGCATGGGAGATTTGCTGCGACAGAGTAACTGCAACAATGTCACAGTCTCTGTCACGTTTCAGCGAATGTGCGTTTACACGAATATACGTATATATAAATCATCAGAAATAAAAATTTGAAAAACAGAAACGCGACAGGAATTGTATTTACTACGAAAAGACAACGACGCTGAGTCAAAGTGAGTGACGCGTTAAGGCTAGTGTTTTCCTTTTTTTTATTATTATTACTTGCTTCCGACCCTCTCTCTTGACTCTGTCCGACATAATTGGAGAGCAGGCAAGCAGTAAGGACTGGGGCGAGCCTATTCGCGTCGGTGCAAGCGGAGTATCCCGTTGCACAAAAAGCCTTCAATTACCCAGAAAGCCACTTAACTAAACATACTCTTTTGCCTGACAACCCTTCAATGCTGTCTCAAAGGGACATGAGCTCATAGAGGCACGACCACTGACAGATCTCTGCGCGAATGTTTTGCTATGTAGCGGTCAATACTCGTGATTTCCTAAAGGAGTTGGGCAAACGACCCAGGAATCTGGTCGGTTTTGGGACGACGATTCCCGACATCTGACGTGCTGAGTATCCCAGCGAGAGAAAATGTTCGAGACGAAAATGCGATCTCCGCCTCATCACTCCCGAGCGTGCTAACGACCTGGCCTCACCAGAGCAACTAAACGCTTATGTTCGTAAGCCGAAAAAGTAAAATCAGCTATTCAATTATTCGAACAATCTTTCGCGGCATTCTATGGAGCATTCTTACGCAACGCGTTTTTTCCTATGTACATCACCCTTCAGGAGACCCTTTATAAAATTCCAATATCCGAAACGCCATTTTTTTTTATCGAGTGCACATTAAAATTTTGTGTCAAACTATGTATACATATACATGTAGGGCTTGAAGACTCGAATTGAACGACCCTCCTACAGAGAGTGACACGTACGCATCTCGAGGGACTTACATCACGAACAAAGGAGGTCCTTCCCACGGCTCGTTGTCGTCACAGAGGGACACGACTGTGGCCAGCTGCCATGTCGCAAGACCTGCAAGGGGATGCAAGTGACGGTCGGAGTTCAACGGTCGTGTGCTTCGCTCACCACTGCCATCACGCCATCGCCGTTTGGCTTCTCAACCGAAACGGGGATGTCGTAGTCGTCTAGGAATAAATCACCAACAAAGCGAAACGGCAGGCGACAAACGCAATGCATTCGACATCTTCTCTTCTGTTTCTGAGCACAAAGGGGCGAGGCAATTGAAGCCGGGATGGCGACCTCGGTACGACATTCATTCCACGCTTCTAGTACTAAAAGTTTTCTTCCTTTTTTTTATTTGACGTTTTGGACGTGGGCCCAAAACTTTCGAGGGTGCTATTCGTAGCTTCCGTCGCGTATCGGTTTCGAATTTCGGCAAAAGGCTGCGGCGGCCTTCTTTCTGAGTAACGGTCGAGCGTGACCGGCCATCAGTCTTTGTAGCAACGGGTTCCGGATATCCTCGGCACACACAAACGCTGTCGCCGCACGAAGAATACGAACCGCTTAGCTTCAGTTTTCGTGTCATGAGTTTTCGGGATATTTTGTTCGGGCTTGTGTGTGTCCGACCGCGTGCATCTTTTAGAATTCGAGCTCTAAGCCCTTCCGAGGGTTAGCCTTGACCTGTGGCGTAGGGCGTTAGCACCATACTCCATTTCGCAATTTGCGTGAAGCGCTCTCGAAGGACGCCTGCGCCATCGAAAAAAGCACTTTGTAAGAGCGACACGTTCGCCACGCGTCAATTCACGGCGTCGGGGGGTTAGAGTTGAGTTAGTTTATTTATGTTTTTTTTTATACTTTGTTTCACGTTGTGATGCGTCACATGGACGCGCTGCAGGCGCCACCTCTTAGCTTTAGGAGAGACTTTCACTGGGCACTTGTTGGGACAAAACACGACAGTCAGAAGTCATGAACGCGTTCCTCCAAGCTTCACTGTGGTCCGCGGTGGAACAAAATATTCCGGTTTTTGCTGTGAAAACAAACAAACAATGAAAGTGAGATGTAGCAGTGTGGTGGATTGGGCGAGTTGGTGTGCATTGACCGTGGGGGTGAACAGCGCGCATGAGCCAAAGACACTGTAGAAAAAGCAGGTAGGACAAGCGCTTGTCCTGTCTGTTTTCTTCTCAGTGTTTTCGCCTCTTGTTTGTCGTTTATATCTATGTTCAGTAAAAGTGAAGGCTGAAAGGTGTATCCTTAAAGTTAGAAGCATTTACATGCTTTACAAGTACGCTTTTACCGCTCATTCACACTGGAAGCGGATCCGCGTTCGCAAAGCGGTTGCGAACGCGGTTGTATAAAGATCCATTACAATTTCACGCGCACTTGATATCATCGAGTGCGCGTGCAATTGCACTGGATCTTTATACAACCGCGTTCGCAACCGCTTTGCGAACGCGGATCCGCTTCCAGTGTGAATGAGCGGTCGGCAATAGCAGATGTCACAAAAATATTTTTTATCAATAAATAAATATTAATAATAATAATAAGTTTGTTTTCCATTGCAGGTTTCCTCCTATGTCGTTTTCTCAGACTTTTAGGGATATCAAAAATACAACCAAGTGCTAAGGATAAGATCTCCTCAAATATCCAAACATGACGACCCAACGCGTTCCACTATGGCGCTTCAGATATGTCTTCCCCCAGCTGCTCTTACTTTTAATCTTTGTCAAAGGTGGACTATTCTATCTGTGTAACTTGGTTATCATGTATATTTTCATTTTAGGTAAACTTAAAAATCCTACCCGAGGGACTTGTTTCAAATAAAGCTATATCACCTCGGTATATTCAGGTCACAACGCAAGTCAAGAAGACTGCTTTCCAGCTCTAGCCTATAGGCTCAATATTGCGCTCCTTCAGTTCTAAGATTCTGCGTCGTTCTGCTGAAATGAAAGCGGGATGCAATACTCACACTGATTAAGGATCAGCGATATGTCCTGGTCTCCGCACGTTGAAGGAAAACAGCCTCCGAGTTTCAAGCTAGACTGGTCAAAGACGAAGTTCTGGACACCCTGTTGCTGTAAGACGACGGAATTCGGAGCGCCGTTACACACGACAATTTTGTAAAAGCACTTTCGGTCATCATCTTTCAAGCCGGCATTAAAAGGAATGAAACTAGAATAGTGCTTATTCTTTAGTAAAACGGCTTTCTCTTGCCAGTTTAGGGGTCGCTCTTCAAATGAAACATTTCGCAATGTTTCTTGATTATTCATACACGTCATTGCGTGCGACAATTGTCCTGGTCAAACGTGGTATACTACCCCTATTAGAATACGAGTAAATGGTGTAGGTTTGTTGAGGAGTTTCAGATTGGCATCGCAATTCAGGATTTCACTGACGCGCGCAGTATTAAGGGATATAGTTATATATCGGAAATATTCACCTTTATAAGTTACTGAAGGAGTCCGAGAAGTACTTCTATTGAGGGTTAAAATCACCGTGCTTTAAGGCTAGTGAGATTCCACGATTTGTTCCGAAATACCAATACCAAGCTGGACTACGTCCGCTATGAGGCCTACCGAAAAGGAAGATGTCGCAATAAAACAATACTATTGCTCCCATTCGGTTTCCATGAAAGCCCCAGTCCACTTTACGGTGCGTTAAAGCGAAGGCCCCAGGCGTTCATCGGACATGACCGACTTCACCTACCAACACCGACTCATGCTTTCATGAGAAGCCACGAGCCAGTGAGGTCACATGCACGCGTTCCGTTTCGTCTGTATCCAAACTATACTTGGTTTCACTACAATTTCAAGAGCTGTCAAAGCCTAGAAGGAAAAACAAGGACACACAAAGACTGAGATCGTGAGGTTACGACGAACTCGCTGCGTTTGTTTTTTCAATCAGTCAAGCACCATTGCTGCTTGATTGCTCGCACCATCGGCCGCCCTCAAACTCAGTGCGAAATAAAGCAGGGTCGTGCTCGTTGACTAAACCATTACATTTCAGTTACCACGTGTGCACGTGCGAACGAGACTTTGCTAAGATTTTTCTTATGCCTGAAAAAATAGGCTGCTGTTCGCATCGCTGTCTTGCTGGAAATCGAGGACTGATTCAGTGATATTACGTACAAAACTGCCATATATGGCCGTATCAAGAATTGTGCTCATTAGACCAAATCTGTCCATGTATATAATAGGGCTACATACAATCTTACTTTCCAGATTCTCGATATAGCCTGCCTTTCTGTATGGGACTTCAAATGAGTGGTTTGGGGACCCACCATGCGCGGTGCGACCGGCGGCACCGGCACGTCGGCTGGCAGGTAGACGTAGACGTGGCAGAACTTGCTGCTGATTCGAGTCCCCGTCTTGTTGCGCACCTGGGCTCCGAAGCAGAGCTCGGGCGAGCCATACTCGAGCACGGAGCCCCGCAGCATGCCCGTGGGAAGAGATCCCAGGGAGTCCAACACTGCGTGGGCCGACGGCGTGAGGAGTGGAGTGCCCCGATGGCTACTTTATTGAGAACCTAAGCGCCCCGATGTCTAGAAAGGTGCTTAGTACAGAGGTGTGGCTGTAGCGGGGGACTCTACGATACCTAATGTCTTCCAGAATCAAAAATGTGGAACATACACCTGAGAAGACAGGCAGGATTCGTCCCTCTATATTGCTCGCATTAACATCTTTAAGATCAAAGCCTACAGGTTGGTTAAACGCATCATAATGTCAGTCATTGTAATTTCTTACTCAATGCATGTGTGAGAAATTACAATGTTATATGTTTTGTTACGGCTCTGCAAAGGCTCTTAGGTCTCGCTTTTCCATCCTCGATGTTTGGAGCTTTTGCCTCAAGTTATGATCAACAATTTTCAGAGTAACAGCTTCTTTCGTTCTATAATGCTCGGAGCGATACGAGGCCATTCTAAAATAAGTTAAAAGATTTTCGTCGTTTTTTGGTTTTATTTGTTTCCGCGGCTTCCGTCGATTTGTTTTCAACGTGCTGATTTACTGGCCGTTATGATGTATTCCAGTTTGTAATCTCTCTGTTGGTAAAGAACGCGTGGTGGTAACAGGTGCCCAAAGCTCATATTTATTCCTAAATGAAGAGTCCTCCGTATTTTTTAATGATTTCCTTTTTTTTTTCTTACGAAAAATTTTGTTTTTACTTCTACTTTTATTTTCTTGAGATGGTAAAAGGCGAGCATTTTTATTCAGCTCAGGCTAAAACACTGATTTATATCAATAGCTATCGGTGATGCGACTTTCGAAATTCTCCAACGAGTTGAACTCAGAAACTGAAAAGATTAATAAAAAAATATCCAACTCAATTTTTTTTTTAATTTTTATCTCAAATTTTTATTTCCTTCTACTTTAGTATCAACTCTTTGGTGCTTTTCTTTTTTTTTTTTTTAAGTTTGCATTTCATGCGTCGATATCTTTCCCGCAACTGGAACGAACGCATTTTTCTTAAACATTGTTCGGGCCAAGTCACTTCTCTTTCTTATTTTTCTCGAGAATTCAATGAAAGCAATCACAACAGCCGTCGAGTTTTTTGTTTGTTTTTATTATATATATATATATATATATATATATATATATATATATATATATTGGCGCAGGATTTACCTTTCCAAGTGGCCAGATGATCTCGTATATAAGTTCAGGCGTCTTCAAACCTCTCTATTTCATTGGCTTATCGTAATCCTCTTATGGGCTAGCCAGCTAGAAGCAACTAGCATAAGAAAAAAAAAACGAGAGCGCTTCGTCGGGCAAAGTTTAGATCTTCCCCCGAATTACAGCATGGTCCGATTTCCTCGAAATCGGGGGAAGGTTAATGCTGAAAAATGGTTGCGATTATATCGACCTCTTGCTTTCGCAGAAAGACAAAGTTATACGATCATTAAGTGACAAATTATTATACTCTGACCAATCTCTACTTTAGTGGAAAGCTTGCGGTGCGTTCGGTGCTTTTGAGGCGCTATCCACGTTGCCTCGGCGCTCACGCACGTACCCCCTACTTTGCTGCGAAGAATACTTAATCATTTCTGCGTTGTTAAATATTATCTCACTCCCTTCGACGAATTGTTTCATCTTTCGCAGAAACGCTCAACTGAAGCACAGAGAACGGGTACTCCACCTATCAGTTTTCCCATCAAGGGCCAACTAAGTTTGCACCGGCTTTTCTGCAACCTATCGAAGCGATATCCAGGAAAATCAGGCTATTGTGAAACGATACCCCCTTTTCTTCCTTTTTTTTTTTTCTTAGACTCAATGAATTTTGTTATTAACGAACAAAGGGCCTTACGAGCAAGAGTACATCGTTAAGTTTTGAAAGGTAAACAAAGATACAAAGTGGACTTTTATTATTATTATTAATTTTTGTCGGGATCGAGGGCCTTTTTCGCCCCGGACCTGTCTTATGAAAGAGAAGAAACCATCAATCAACGTCGTTTGTTAATCGGCCTGTGTGTACCTCAAGTAAATTAGAGTTCGTTGAATGAAACCCTGTTTTCAAAGCTTTCGTGCTTCTCCACGGTATCGTAAAGTTCTTAAGCGCCCGTAAAATTTGGCTCAAATTACACGGCTGGAAAACTGATCTCGAGTCGAGCTTGATTCATGCGCGAAATAGGCTCACTGTACATGCTGCTGAAAACGGTTCTGAGCATAAACTGTTTCCATTCTGGTGAGCACGGAAAGTAAATTTCTTATCATGGTCAGGCCTGCTTTCCAGTGTTTCTTTTGTTTATGTATCATCGCATAAAACCATATTTGGTAATGTCTATATCAATAAACGAGCGAATGAGAGAGACCACTGCGTGTGTAATTTCAGCATCTTAAATACACAGCTCTCCGGTACAGGTCATATCACCCAGTGGCAAAGACCGCTGGTACATATCCCTATTGAAATATCGAACGGATCTTCAATCTATTAAACAGAATACTCTTTAGAGCAATTTTCTTAATCTACCCGATTTTTTTTATTCGCAACCGCGTTGAAATAAACGCACCATAATTGATTCGACTGTCGGCAAGGAAGCCTCGAAGGAACTCTGGCGCCTCAGCTTTAAGTTTGTTCACTTAAAATTTGCTATTTTAGTGCGGCGCTTCGTATTTGCGAAAAAAGCAGTGAACAGAAGGCAAAAAAAAAAAAATCGATATCTAAAAATTATTTTTATTTGTTTTGCCAGCGAACAATTTAACACGAGCGTTACGTCTCAATTCAATGAGGTACCGGGATTATTCTTGTTGCGACGTAAGAACTGGAGAGGAGGCGCTGACCCTACAGTTCTTATGATTCTTCTGGCTTCAAGCGCGCAGCTTAGTATTTAAATCGGCATGGTTCAGTACACTGATGGACGGTTGGGCCTGATGGCTCCACACGTTCGGTGGATACGCCACGGTCACATCCGGGGCGCATTCTGTATATTATGCTCAGCGTTGTTACCTACCCTCGTGTAAAACAATTATTATGAACCTTATTTCCATCGTACCGTACTCTAGAAAAATCGTATGGTGTCTATATTTACCGAAGACCACCAGGAAATTCAGTCATTGCGATTTATGTTGGGAAATAACGAAAACAAAATGTAGATAAAAAAGCTGTATTGTTACATTGTACTTGACCTTAGCATGTGAAACGAAGATATGCTAAATGCCACATCGCGTAAGTCGTTTTCCGATTAATGTTTTTTTTTCTCTCTCTTTTTATTTCTCACTCACGGAGTTCCACTCTAAGAAGCTTTTTCATGTATGCTGCCCCCAATCCGCTCGGAACGCCTGTTATAGGTTTTCTTTTAATTACTTCAATCAATTAGCTTGTTGAACCGCACCATGCTCCCGTTGCAGTGCAATGCAAGTGGCTAAAATAAAATCTTGCAGATTTTTTTTAGCCAAATAAGACTGCGTAACCATTGGGGCGCGACACCGCTTAGCCTTCTCACTGGCTAAACCGATTACAGAAAATCCAATCACTGAGTGTTCTGAGGCTCTTCTGAAAATTTAGATTGCTCTGATTTTTTCTGCCTGTTCTATCATGATATCGTAAAGTATGCACACGGCTTATTTAAAGTTTACTTGTTCAGCAAAGCGAGGCGCTTTCGGCCCGGTAGATCCTTTTCAAGTTTGGAGTAAGATTGGTGCAAACAGCCCCGATAGGATGGCGTACAGGACAATCCAGACGGTTCTTCGGCCAGCATCGCCTGGACGAAACGCTGCGCATCCGCTCTGCACTGGGAATCCACATGCGTGACAGGCAGGTTCTCGTCGATACACCGCAAAAAAGGCTTCCAGTGAGAAGCCTTGAAATGCACCAGGTGTAGCCTTCGGGCGTCGATCAGATCTTGAGCTGTGGTGGAAAAGAAACCATTGCGATCCGAGAATTTGAGAGTGCCAGTGTCTGGCCAGTTTTGGTTCTTAAGTTTTCACTGGGCGACCTTAGAGGTCGCAGCTTCACCCGATACGCATGTCGGGAACCGGGTGTAAGATTTGCTCCCGACCGCGGTGTACAATGTCTTACACCCTAGTAGGGAACCAATAGGCCTTTTGCTAAAACCCCCAATCACCCCGGCCCGCACTCAAGGAATCATTGCAGCTCAATAGTGATCGGAAATTTCAACGAATTCGATGGTTACTCAGTTTTGAGCGCAATCCAGAGTCACCCTGAACAAGCGTCGTGTAGAGTCCGAGAACCTGTCATTTCATTTTCTTTTTAATTTTCTCTTCAATGTCAGCGTTTTTGGTACTTTGCATGCTACCTACCTTTCAACCTGGCTTAGCTGCAGAAATCTCTTACAATTCTATTAGTACCGAGCAGCTTCAAAGGCGCTGATATGAAGTTAGAAAGGTTAAAAATGCTGTAAATAGCCCCATTGAATTCGAGCGAAATCCTGGTTCTGGTTGTGCATTCTTGGCTTTTTAAACAATTTCGGCTAAAACCACAATCACAAGAATGTTAATGTTGTAAGAGATTTCTGCAGCTCAGCCAGGTTGAAAAGTGAATTGCATACGCAGTATCGGAAACGCTGATATTGACGAGAAATTTGTAAAGGGATATGACAAGTACTGGGACTCTACGCGACCCTTGTTCAGGGTGACTCCGGATTACACTCGAAACTGCGTAACCATTGAATTGGTCGAACTTACCGACCACTATGAAGCTGAAGGATCACACGGTTCCTCGAGGGGGGCCGGGGTGTTTGGGGGATTTAGCAAAGGGTATATTGCGAGGCGATAACTGTGCCGTTTGTCTTAAAGCCGTCAGTTTCAGAACCCTCTTCTCCCCCGCGCCCCGTTGTACCGCCCCAAGGTGCAATCGGAAGGCGAGTGATTGTGCGGTACGCTCGAGGACATCCGAGAATGTGGTGTCAACGGAAACAGTTTGCTCATTGTGCGGAATAGTTAGCCTACACACGACACTTGCGCTTCTTTTTTTCTTTCCATTCTAACCTGGCAGGGCTGTCTAGAACACCAATTCTCCATTCTGTTGTAACATAAGATCTGCAGCAGAAGCTCCGCCTCCAACACGCACTCGTTGCTTTCCGTCAAGTATAGCTACGCGTGCGCCGAAGTGATATTGAAGATACATAGCTCATGCTGGGGGTGAAGCTTCTGCTGCAAATCTTATGTTGCAACAGTCTATAGGAATGTGCCCTTCGTGGGAACCATTCCACACTTGTGGATCTGGTCAGAGCCTTCCAGCAGAATGTAATAAAACCCTTAGTTATTTATTTGTCTTAACCATCAAGCGCTTCGTTCGTAAAAAAAGAAGTACACCGATCGTACAAAAAACAAAGAGGCTGTATATATATATATATATATTTTTTTTTTAAAGATGGGAAAGGTTAAGAACTCAAATATACGTAGCACGTTTGGTGAATGACGTGTCCTAAGAGTACAATGACCATGACCTTTGAGTTGCAAACAACAGCGTATTTTGGCCGCCGGTGCAATTGTAAGCCACATTGCTTGTTCTCAGCAGTTTTCGTTCGTCGACCGCTGATGGCGCTCAAAGGCGAGACATTTTGATAAATAACTGACCGAGGACTCTTTGTTGTTAATTCGCCTAATGGGATTTTAAATCAGACTAAGCCGTTTATGGGATGTTTCGCAAACAACTTCTCCCAAAAACGTAGAAGTTCAGCTTAGTAATGATGGCCATTTCCTACGCGTCCTAGATAGAAGCATTTAGGAAGAAAAATGACTGGCAGCTGAAGAGTGGAAGCATTTCCGTGGCGTTGTTTGCCACGTGTTTGAATGGTTCTGCTTCCCTTAAAATTAGTACCGTTTTATTTTGTTTACTTCAATAAACGTTGTTAACGATGCACGCGCAAAGTGCAAGTCATACCGCAATTGTATGCCTATAAATGAAAACCAAAGCTGGCCGTTAGTTAATGAAGTCGGCTCAATTGCTAATCCCATATTTTTTTTTTTTTTTTTAGGTTCGGAGAGGCAGGTAACTTACCGAACTCCAAGGAAGTACATCCTTGGACAAGAATCAGGCAAACCCAGGCGTACGAAAACATAGCTTTTGTCCCTGTCTGCTCTCGTAACAAATACGCCGGCAAAGCAAATAACGGCGCGGGCGGCTGTGCGCCGTCCCAGCCTGCAGCTGTTATTCTGGATCGCACCACCGCGGTTGGGCAACGCGGGGCTTTAAACACGTCATCTCCCGCGCAGCTCAGAAACTAATCCACAGCTTCCCTCCCCGCAGAGGGTTTAAGGCCGCGGTAGTAGTAAAGTAACCGTTGGACCATGCAGGACAAAGAGACAGAAAAGACAACGCCGTCGTTGAATACTGCTTTTCCTCACATGGTGTCGTACATCCACCCTTGTCTGGAAGTCACGTCTTACCATGTTTTACCAGCTACCTTGCGCCCGCACTCTTCTTTCTGACAGCTTAGATATAAACAGCTTGAAAGATCACTGAAAGATGAAAATGTAATTTTATCATTGGTTAAATAGTATTTTGCCTAGTATTAGAATAAAACTTACGACCCTAAATTACGACCTAAATCAATGTCAGAATCATGCATGTTGTTCCTTCCTTCTGTAGATTACGAAACTTGACGCTCGGCGTTTCTTCTCTCCAGAGCACATACACGCTCTCTGAGTGAAAGCGCAAATGTTCGCAACATGCATTTTTACGTCGTTTCCGCGTTTCTGGCCATTACAATGTTTGCAAAATTCAGCGAACACCGCGTTCGAGTTGTTGTATGCCGTACTCGTCCCTCTGCCGTGATTGAATAGCTATGAAAAGTGTTCGAAAGATCTATGGACCCGTTTCAGTCCGTTTCTATTATTATTTTGAAACATAGAGCATTGCAATTCCTCCTCACATATTTCAGGCTGACTAAAATTGGCGTGCACCTCTGGGACAAGAACCTCCTGCAAGCAATACTGAGGCGCGACCTCTTGCACAAGGATTAACCCGTCCCCCCCCAAAAAAAACAAAAAATAAATTATTATTTAGTAAAATGTATCTAGTTTAGTTGGAGGGCGATCTTGATTAGTTCGTACCTCGCAACGTGACACTGGAGAAGTTTAAATTTTATTGTAAATGCATTCATTATATAGAAAGAAACAAAGGCCGGTAACCACGTACCTAACCCGCGAGTTAGCGAAAACCCGCATAGCCGTGCGCAGATGCTCGGGGCTTTTACGTCACGGGCCGGAATTGTGTCGCTCGGCGCAAAGATAAAGCGGAGCCATCCATTCGACAACAACACATGTGCATTACAGCTATATACGAACCCGCAAATAACAATGGCGGATGCTGTTTCTAGGCGATTAAAAAGCACCGAGCGTTTGTTTTAATACCCGAGCCCATAAATGAGACGTTAGAAGTTGCATATGTATGCTGCTTCGCGTTGCATTGGCGGCGTTCTGTCGAGCTTGTCGCAACGCCGAGTCTTGTCTCACACAGATGACCACCGGTAGAAGAAAGGATCGCCAAGAAAGAGGAGCCCGTTGCTTGCATCGCGGATGATCCTATTGAAACGGTATACCACTCTAACTATTCGCTTATCCGCATGCGTTCTTGGCTGCAATGGTGAGCTTTGCAGTGTGACTTGAGAATGGCTTCTGCTTTAAATGTGCCGTTACTCGGAATATGTGGGTTTACCCGGATGTTTTTTTTGCCGCAGCTTAAATATGCTTTTTATCTGTTAGAAAGGTTAAGGAAATTGTTCTCTTTTCTTTTTCTTTGTGCGCAAGCAGACATGCAACTTCCAGGATAATATTTAGTTTTGTTCAAGCACAGGATTGAATTGGACTTCATCGTGTTCTGAGGCGTAAATAAAAATGGCGGAGGAAACAAAAATAACGATAGCTTGCATGTTCAGGGAGGCTGTGGAAATCCGCCTGTGGCGACTCCAGTTGGCATGAAATAGGCTTACGGTCTTTGTTTTTCAACTTCATAATTGAACGTTTTACGATTGCGTGACTGTGTGACAGTTTTTATGGCATGACCCACCTGACGCTCTAAACTTACCGCAAATGCCCGCAGATAATTTTTTTTTTTTTTAATAATATTTGCGCTTTTGTATTTTAGTGGAGTTCCACTTCGCTTGCTATTCTGATGCACAAAATGAAAATGGACACGGAAAAGGCGAATATTCGGGCGTGAAACTGCGCTGTTAAATTGCTGCGATGGAATCAAAATTTGCCACGCTTCGATTTAGAGCACATGATTGTGTCCTGTCACAAGCCGCGTGTTGTACTTTAAAATGAACGCCTAACCTCCCCAAAAAATAAAATCCAGTTTGCTATCTGGTGGTCCAATCACTGCGCAAGCTGATGAACGCGTCAAGTGATTTATTTATCTCTGAACATTTTTTAACTCGAATATTGCGATCTGTACGTCTGGACGAAGACAATGAGTAATCAAAAAGCCCATATTTTCACTATGCATACAGCGTTTCCCAATCAAACGGTGTTGAGAACCATGTCATTTGCACGAGTATGCATAGCTAATCTGCTGATGAACGGCTATGATGTATACGGACATGCATTTTTAGAACATAGTGTCTCAGGGCTCTGAGGGAGACTTGTCAAGGTGAATTCGTCAGAAAAATAAATGGCCGTACAATCTGCGGGTCTTTACAATAGTGGAATAGTAATGGCTACATTAGTCGCCAGGGCGGCGAGATAAGACTGACCTATAAAGTCACTGAGATAAATAATACTAAATCAATCAATCAGTCAATCTTTATTTCTATCCAGTGGTGGAAAGAGCAGCTAAAAAAAAACAACCGCATCTCCACGTGGTGAATGATGTTGATTGGGGCAAAGCTTTGGTGGTGCTTCTCTGCGTAGACGGTGAGCCGCAGCATGCCGAGCCTTTCGTTCGTTTTCATCCATGTCACGCTGCGGTGAAATGCTCAAATGCGTATAGCCACGTTCTATAACACAGATTCTCTTTCTGACATGGATGAAAACGAACGAAAAGCTCGGCATGCTGCGGCTCACCGTCTACGGAGACAAGCAAAACCAGAGCTTTGCCCCAATCAACATCATTCACCACGTGGAGATGCCGTTGTTTTTTGTTGTTGTTGTTTTTGTTTTTTTCGCCCTACACGAGCACGGGAGACGTGCTCACGTGAGCGCGTGAGCTCACGAGCAGGAGCACGTGCACCCGACGGTGGACGGAGATACGGACATGGCTAGCCTCGAAAGGGGTATCCACACGAAGGAGAAATCCGCTCCTTTCCTCCGCGGATCGCGCATCACGTGAGACATACGTCATTCCTTTTTGACGCCTCGCGGCGCCGTTCTCCCGTTCTCCTCCGTGGCGGAGGCGCGGAGGCTTCGTGCTGTCAGCTTGAAAGCTCCGCAGGTGCACGCGGCGGAGCCGGGGACGGAGTTTCCCGGGGTGTTGACGTCACGACATCCGTCCGCGGAGTTCTCCTTCGTGTGGATACCCCTTAAGGAGCTTCGCCCCTAAAACTGCTGAAATCATCGGAGTAATCATGTTTTTGTGAGGCTCGTCTCATGAGTCCGTTAAAGCATATTGATTCGCCAAATGCCGTTCGAGGCGACTTCGACAAAACGTTTTCCGACATTCTTTCACAACTTCGTTGCTTTCTGTTTGCTTTTTATTTTTTTTTTTTTAAGTTGGATTGCCGTTTTCATTCGTTCACAAAAAAAAAAAACGACTGTACCTATCTGGGCGTTTGCACACTTTGGCATCTCAAAGGTATTTTATACGTGATGACATTTGCTTTATGTGTGATTACATCGCACCAAATGACAACTGAAAGTGGCAAACTCGCCGTTTACGTCAAAGGACACTTACGCCCAACGTGTCACTTCTTCAGCTCTTCAGATACATTTCGTTCCTAGTGTGCGTGCACTAAACGCAGCATACGTCAATAGGATATAGACGATTGCAAGCAAAGCGATTGGCCTCCGCCATGTCTCTGCTAGTGTGCACAAGCCCGTTCAATTGCAAGCTTGCCAAAGCTATGTTCAAGCGTAAGTTGCACGCGCTTGAGCGTATGGGGCACCAGTCAGGGCGCCATGCTTGCAGTTGTCTACACCTGACGATAAAAAGAGCTTTTAAAACTGACATGAACTTTTAAGAGACCTATTCGTGGCACTTCTTTCCAACATACGGTCAATCATAATGGAGATCGTGCAAGAACTCGAAAATGACAAAGTCGGAGATTGGCAGAAGGGTGAAAGGTGGTCACAATTGAATGAGGACTAAAGCAAATCGGCGTGTCAAATCACACGTCCTACCATTAAGAACTGGGCCGGCTTGCTAGAATCAACGTGTTAGCTATTACCCGTGCCACGCGGGCAACTCGAATGCCATTTACAACGAATGACGTTTCTGTGATCGACAAATCGGCTTGCGATCTGTCGCGGAGCCGATTCAAACAGCGCGCCACGCCCGGAGCGTCGCGCGCTGATTGGCCGATCGTTCAAATGTCATTCGTTGTAAATGACATTCGAGTTGCCCGTGTGGCACGGGTATTAGACAGCATGAAACGAAGTACTGATGAAGCTGGCGCTCGAGCGGAGTGGCACGTGAAGTCGAGTCTCAAGCGCTCGCGCGCCCCAGGCCCAGTGGCAGGCTTTCTTTCACACGGTCTAACCTTAGACGTTGATCCTAGCCTGTGGGCCCTGGGCTATTTCTGCAGTCCTGCAAAGATTTGGAAGTTGCAATTTCTTATCCGCGTCACCACCAGCCTCCAAGGTATGAGCCACTCGCCCTTCTGCGACGCCACAATGCCGCTGCCATTAAAGCAGAGTTTTCGTTCTTCTCGTTTATCAATCTCTCTGTTGCCATTATAAGGTAATTTCTATTGATGTATCCTAAATTCCGATTCAAATTACTGTCCCGCGCGACAGACTTTTAAACACAGCTCCGAGTCTCGACGGTCATCGAACTAAATGTCATTCGAATTAAATGCCCGTGAAACATAAGCCACGTTATGCGCCGAAGAACTGAGGGCGACGAGGAGACGAGAGCTCGCAGCGACATCAGGGGCCCTATGTAGCGCTTTTTGATGCGAAAGCATAAACTCTCTCACGGAGCGAGGTGACGTCAGAAGTTTGAAGCGCGAAAGTGGCTCCTAGTTTCCGCGCGCCTTCGGCTCCATTGGCTCGCGCGTCGACGGGACTACCATCGGCCGCTGCGCCATGGCCTACGAGAACCCGAAGCGCGCGCGCGCTAGTACGTAGCCAACGACAAAGGGAGCGGACCAGCACACGACAAAGGGAATGAACGAGAGGCTTGCATGCTTTCGCATTCACAACTCATAAGAAATGCTTAGGTGTACCTTGAGCTTTTGGACTCCCACGGCGGCCAGGGAGAAGGGCGTGACGTCAACAACGCAGCGAACGCAGATTGGATGTTGATGGGTGAGAGCCGATGATGACGAATTTTCGCAGAAGAAAACAAAGCTCACTTTTTCTTGGTTTTCTTCTGCGGAAATTCGTCATCAGCGGCTCTCACCAATCAACATCCAATCTGCGTTCGCTGCGTTGTTGACGTCACTTTCTTCTCCCTAGTCGTCGTGGGAGTCCAAAAAGCGCAACATAGGGCCCCTGAACACCGAGCTGACCGAGCTCGGATTCGAGTGATTTCTGGAGAGACCTAAAGCTAGCTGCCTTTGTCTCCACTGGACTCGTCGAACGAGTTAGAACCCGGAGAGCCGGCGTCCGGCGGTCAGATTTCGCATTCGAGCGCCTTCGACGAGCGCAGTGCAGACAAAGGCAGCTTGCTTTTGGTCTACCCACTAATCCTACCAATCAGAGCTCGGCGTTCTGACGCTCCCGCGCGCTCTCGTTCCGTACTCTCCCTCATTTTCTCGGCGCATAGGTATCTTTACAACTTCTTTCCAAACCACTAGCTTCTTTGCAAACCACAATCGGTGCAAACATTCATGTTCGTAGAGAAACGTAATGACACCTCCCGTCAAGAGAAGTTAAGCTGCGTTCTAAGAAAAGGCTTACGAGTTCACAATTCCCCCCCCCCCTCCCCCCCCTCCCCCCCCCCCCCCCCCTTCAGAACACGAATAAACGAATCGCAGCAAACAGAGAGCCTTTCATTGGCTATGTGCGCGACCAAAAAGCGGCGCCGTGGTCGACCTTCTATACGATTGGCTAAACACTCACTATTACGTCTTGAGTATGATGAATTCTACGTTTGGGAGATGAGAGGAATGTCAGACTGGTCAATTTTGACGGCCTTGGTCTAATGACGCAATGGCTCTGAGCTTCCCCACCGTGCTTGTTGGATACGCCGTCAAGGTTGTCGCTGTCAATTAATAATCTTGGTCGTGACGTCACAGATAGGAACCGCCGAAACACGTCGTCGCCAATACTGCCAGTATAGAAGGCTGTGACGGCGAACAAAAGCAGGATCTCAGTTAACAACGTAACTCAGACTAGGAATCCAGAAAAGAAATGCGATGTGCGCATGGAAAATAAGCGTGACGTTTCACTTGTTCGTGTCCCTGCGCACATTGTCATTTTCAAATCTAATCGTATT